CCGCGCCCCCTGTGTCCCCCGGAAGGGCCGCACAGGAGGCAAGGTTGGAGGCCATGGAAAGGCAGATAGCCGAGATGAATAGGCGGGCGGACGTTGGCTCGGCCACACCCTCTTTCTCCCTCACATCTCCCTTTACTCCACGGGTGATGAGCGTCGAGATTCCCCGGGACTGCAGGCCCCCGGGCAACTTGGTGTACAATGGGGCTGGCGATCCCAAGGCCCATCTGATAAGCTACCAAGGGAACCTGTCCATGCTGGGAGCATCAGACGAGGCCATCTGCAGATTGTTCTTCAGCACCCTCAGGGGGCCGGCGCAAGAATGGTTCGGCCAGTTGAGGCCAGGCACCATCGACTCATACGAACAGCTCTCCCAGCAGTTCATGGCGCAATTTGCTGCCAGCACCACCCCCAGGAAGGACGTCACGGCTCTCGCCCACATCAAACAAGGGCGGGACGAACCGCTGGCTAGGTTCCTGGTAAGGTGGAGGGACGAGGTCCTACAGGTCGACGATCTGGACGAACGTCTGGCCACCAACATGTTCACCAGTGCGCTGGCCACAGGGGATCTATACCGGGACCTAAGGAGGAACCCCGGCACCAGCTACACCGAGGTTCTTGCTCGGGCCCAGAAGTATGCCTCCATTGAGGAGGAGATCAGGCAGCGGGACGGAGTTCCCGCGGCCCACCCACGGAAGATGGCGGACAGGCTCGGGCCTGGGCCGGGACCCGGGCCCTCCCCCCCAAACAAAAAGAAGAGGACAGACGGGGCGATGGTCCCCTGGAAGGCTCCGTCCGGGGATACTCAAGCACGGCCGGACGACCGCTATGTCCCATTGGCCTATCCAGTGAGCCAAATCTTTGAGGCCATCAAGGACAAGGGCCTCCTAACGGAACCCCAGGATATGAATAAACATATGGGGCACGACCAATCGGCCTACTGTGAATACCATCAGAGGACCGGCCACCTGACGGATAATTGCAGCCAATTAAAGAAAGCGATCGACGAGCTGATCCGTCAGGGGTACCTGGGCGAGTTCACCCAGCTGCTGAACAAAAACAGCCAGCAGAAGCCGAACTCAAGGCACAAGACATGGCGCCGCGACGATCGGCGCGAGGCAGAACCTCAGGACGTGGATTATCGAAGTGCAGATAAACGTCCGGAGGGATCCCTCGGCCCGAAGGGCAAGAAGAAGAAATTGGAGATCAAGGTGATCTTCGGGGGCGCTGAGACAGGGGATACACCCGCCGAGCGGAAAAAATTTGAGAGGTCACTCTATGTGGGTTCCGTATCAGCACCCCCCACCAAGCGCAATAGAGCCGAGGCAATTACCTTCGGCCCCGCTGACCTGCCAATGTCACCGGCGCCGCACAGAGACGAGCTGGTGATCAGCATGGACGTGAACGATGCTATCGTCCGTCGCGTCCTCGTTGATACCGGGAGCAGTGTGAACGTCCTCTACTGGGAGGCTTTCGAAGGAATGAGGCTCCGGAGGGACATGCTGCACCCCCTACGCACCCCGCTGTCCGGCTTCACCGGGGACTGCATTGACGCTGAGGGCACCATCGTTTTACCGGTAGAGGTCGGCGACGGCCCTCACACTGCCCGGATCAGCATGACGTTCGTCGTGGTCCGCCTGAAGTGCGCCCACAATGCCATTTTGGGCCGACCCGGCTTGGAAGACTTGGGGGCCATATGCTCCGTACGACATTCATGCATCAAATTCCCCACCGACACTGGAGTGGGGGTGGCACGTACGGACCCTCATATGGCCAGGGCCTGCTACACGAAGGCCATGGAGAAGCTCAACGAGCGGGAGGCTCGGGTCAACAGCATCTCCGAAAAGGCCAAACAGGCCGACTTGGACGCTCATCTGGAACCAGCAACTCTGCTGGAGGAGATTGAACTCGACGATCCGACGGACAGGAAGGTGTCCATTGGTGCGGATCTAGAGCCAGAAATCAGGGCAGGGGTCATAGCCGTCCTCCGGAGGTTCAGGATCTTGTTCGCCAGAGGGCCGGAGGACATGCCGGGCATCGACCCCAACCTCATATGCCATAAACTCGCTGTGCGGTCGGATGCCAAGCCTATACAACAGAAGAAGAGATATATGGCGGCCGACCGACGCGATTTCATCAGGAAGGAAACAGCAACTCTCCTCAGCATCAAACATATCCGGCCGGTCATCCACGTGGAGTGGTTGGCCAACGTGGTACTGGCCCCGAAGGGCGACACTTGGCGGATGTGCGTCGATTACTCGGACCTTAACAAAGCTTGTCCGATGGACCCTTACCCGGTCCCAAGGATCGACCTGCTAGTGGATGAAACAGCAGGCTGCGAGCTGCTCAGCTTCATGGACGCATTCAGGGGCTACCATCAGGTGTTCATGCACCCCGATGATGCCGAAAAAAACGGCGTTCGTTACGGCGGACGGCGTGTACTGCTACATCGTCATGCCGTTCGGTCTAAGGAACGCCATGGCTACTTTTCAGAGGATGATTGTGATGTTGTTCAAGGACGTACTTGGAAAGACAATGGAAGCTTACGTGGATGACATCCTGATCAAGAGCAAGAAAAAGGAGGACCATGTCCAGGACATGGAGAGGGTCTTCAGCATCATGGAGAAGGCCAGCATGGGGCTCAATCCGAAGAAGTGTGCCTTCGCCGTCAGGGGCGGCAAGTTCCTCGGCTACATGATGAGTGAGCGGGGGATCGAGCCTAACCCGGAGAAGGTGAAGGCGATTATGGACATGGAGGCCCCAAAGAACCTAAAAGACGTGCAGCGGCTCACCGGGCGTCTGGCGGCCCTGAGCAGGTTCTTATCCAAGCTGGCTGATAAGGCGATTCCCTTTTTTCAGATCATGAAGAAGGCCAGTCCCTTTCAATGGACCCCGGAGTGCCAAACTGCTTTCGAAGATTTCAAGGTATATCTCTCCTCCCCGCTCGTCCTCACCAAGGCGGATCCCGGGGAGAGATTATACATGTACTTGGCAGTAGCCGATCTGGCCGTAAGTGCCGTGCTTCTGAAGGAATCGGAAGGCGTTCAGCGGCCGATATACTTTGTAAGTAAGGCGCTGAACGGTCCCGAGACGAGGTACACACTGATGGAAAAGACGATCCTCGCCTTGATTGCATCCATCAAGCGCCTGGCACCGTATTTCCAAGCACACCCGGTGACTGTCTACACGACGCAGCCCCTCGCCACAGTCCTCAGGAACCCAATGGCAAGCGGAAGGATAACGAAATGGTCCTTGATGATCGGCCAATATGACGTGGACTTCAAGCCGAGGCCGACGATTAAAGGGCAGGCTCTGGCGGACTTCATCGCGGAATGCACCGCGCGCACCGAGGACGGAACCCATGACAACAATGACTTCGATGATTGGTGGGAGATGTACACCGATGGGGCCTCGAGTGTGCGGGGCTGCGGCGGAGGGGCAGTGATCACTTCTCCCGAGGGTTTCAAAGCCTACTACTCTATGAAATTTGAGTTCAAGGTCACCAACAACGAGGCTGAGTACGAGGCACTTATCGCAGGGCTGAAATGCGCGAAAGCCCTCGGAGCAGCTCGTCTGAAGGTGAGAATGGACAGCCAGCTGGTGGTAACCCAGATGAATGGCACTGCTGAGACCCGGGAAGAGAGAATGAAGGTCTACAAAGAGCTGGCGGAGGAACAGACCGCACAATTTGAGCAGGTGGTGCTTGAGCAGGTATCGCGGGTGGAGAATGCAGAGGCGGACATTCTGTCAAAATTGAGCAACCCCCCAGCCGATGACCCGGCATCAAGCATCCCCCGACACATCAGAGGCTTCGTTAGGCAGGAGGTACTCCCAGCACCGGCAACGGACGTCATCCAGGTGGAGGTTATCTCCGTTGCCGAACCTAACTGGGCCAAGGAGATAGCAGATTATCTCAGAGATGGGACACTCCCTGAGCCTGAAGATGATGGCAGTACAGGAAGGGCTGCGTGGATAAAGAGGCGTGCCCCCAACTTTGAACTCATTGATGGGCAACTTTATAAGAAGACGTTCGGCGGACCCTACCTCAGATGCCTCCCGCCGAGCCTAGCAGCGGCGGTAATCGAGGAAATACATGAAGGGATCTGCTCCAGCCACCAGGGCCCCCGAACCTTGGCCAGAAAAATCATCCTGCAGGGCTATTACTGGCCGACCATACAGCAAGATTGCTTCAACCACACGCGGAAGTGCGCAGTATGCCAGCAGTATGCACCTGTCCCTGGCCGCCCAGCGAGTTTCTACACCCCAATGACCATCGCGCTACCTTTTGCTAGGTGGGGCGTAGACCTGCTGGGCCCTCTGCCCACGGCTGCTGGTGGAAGGAAATTTGTCATTGTGGCGGTTGATTATTTCACGAAGTGGGTCGAGGCCGAACCGTTGGCCTCCATCACTGAATTCCAGTGCCAGAAGTTCGTCTGGCAGAACATCATCTGCCGCTTCGGGATCCCGGAGCAGATCATCACAGACAACGGTCGGCAGTTCGTCGGCAGAGGCTTTGAGGCATACTTGGCGAAGTGGGGCATCAGGCACTCTAAGGCCTCGGTGGCCTACCCGCAGGCCAACGGCCAAGTGGAGAACATGAACCGGACCATCATGGACGGGATCAAGAAGAAGTTGGAAGACTACACCTCCAAGCAGCTGAATTATGTCTTGTGGACGTACAGGACGACGCCAAGAACGGCGACTGGGGAAACCCCTTTTGCCTTGGCTTACGGATTCCAAGCTAAGGTACCGACGGAGGTACTGGTGCCTACCCATCGCACCAAGCACTTCCAGCCGGAGGACAACGAGATCAACCTACGAGCAGAGCTCCATTTCATCGAGGAACGGAGGGACCTAGCGGCTCGTCGCATGGAAGAGTATCACAGGGCCACCCAGAGATACTTCAACAAGGCCGTGAAATTCCGCGAAATAGAGGCCGGGGACCTCGTACTCAGGAAAAGAGAGAAGAGCAAACCGCTCGAAGGCGGCAAAATGGCGAAGAACTGGGAAGGACCTTACCGGATCATCAGAAGATATAACCAGGGGACGTTCCTCCTCCACACCATGGAGGGGAACCATGCCGGGATGTGGAACGTAGAGCACTTGAGAAAGTTCTATCAATAGTTAGGGGCTGTTGTCCTTGTATTATTCCCACTACCATGTAAAATGGCCGGACGTCGTCAATAATAAGGCCCCTGTTTTTTCTGAAATTCTGTTCTCACCAACGACCGATAAAGAAGGGAATCTCGATGCAGATAAACCTGTTCCTCCTTGTGATGTCTACGGATACCGGACGTCTCCTCGAGGTAGGAACGCCGGTAGGACCAAGGACCAAGGACGAACGAAGCACCAGGGAATCTCGATGTAGATAAACCTGTTCATCCTTGCGATGTCGGCGGACACCGAACGTCTCCACGAAGTAGGGACGCCGGTGGGACCAGGGACCAAGGATGAACGAAGCACCAGGGAATCTCGAGGTAGATAAACCTGTTCCTCCTTGCGATGTCGGCGGACACCGGACGTCTCCTCGAAGTAGGGACGCCGGTGGGACCAGGGACCAAGGACGAACGAAGCACCAGGGAATCTCGATGTAGATAAACCTGTTCCTCCTTGTGATGTCGGCGGACACCGGACGTCTCCTCGAAGTAGGGACGCCGGTGGGACCAGGGACCAAGGACGGACGAAGCACCAGGGAATCTCGATGTAGATAAACCTGTTCATCCTTGCGATGTCGGCGGACACCGAACGTCTCCACGAAGTAGGGACGCCGGTGGGACCAGGGACCAAGGATGAACGAAGCACCAGGGAATCTCGATGCAGATAAACCTGTTCCTCCTTGCGATGTCGGCGGACACCGGACGTCTCCTCGAAGTAGGGACGCCGGTGGGACCAGGGACCAAGGACGAACGAAGCACCAGGGAATCTCGAGGTAGATAAACCTGTTCCTCCTTGCGATGTCGGCGGACACCGGACGTCTCCTCGAAGTAGGGACGCCGGTGGGACCAGGGACCAAGGACGAACGAAGCACCAGGGAATCTCGATGTAGATAAACCTGTTCCTCCTTGTGATGTCGGCGGACACCGGACGTCTCCTCGAAGTAGGGACGCCGGTGGGACCAGGGACCAAGGACGGACGAAGCACCAGGGAATCTCGATATAGATAAACCTGTTCCTCCTTGCGATGTCGGCGGACACCGGACGTCTCCTCGAAGTAGGGACGCCGGCGGGACCAGGGACCAAGGACGAACGAAGAGTATGGATTGCCTCCACCAAAAAAAAAAAAAAAAAAAAAAAAAAAATGGGGAGAAGAGGAGAGGAGCTCCTATGTAGAAGGGAATCTTGCCCGGGTGTGCCAGATCTTCTCCAACCGCCGAAGACGAACGCCTCTCGGTGTAGAGGTTAGTAGAGACGCGGAGGGGGCTAGACGAACCAAGGGAGCCTGCCAAGATAAACCTGTTTATCCCACAAATGACCATGGATCGATGGACGTGGGGTAACAAAGTCGGGGACCCGTGAGGGTAGACCTGTTCGTCCCTGCGAGTCCTTGGGTACCGAACGTCCTCTTCGAAGCAAGAGACGTCGGTAAGGCTAAAAGGACCACGGACGAACGAAAAGGGGGGAATCTCGATGTAGATAAACCCGTTCATCCTTGCGATGTCGGCGGACACCGAACGTCTCCTCGAAGTAGGGACGCCGGTGGGACCAGGGACCAAGGACGAACGAAGACTAAAAGACTCCAAAAAAAAAAAAAAAAAAAAAAAAAAAAAGCCGGAAGAGCAAGGAGCAAAGAATGATTCTTTTATTCTTCGGTACTATTGGCCGGGAGATTACAAGACAATGAAAATAATGGGAAAAATTGTACAAGTACAAGGTCATGAACGGAGAATCACTTTTGATCGACGTCCGGAGCTGGAACCTTGGAAAGAGCCTGCTTGCATTCTTCACTGGCTCTGGCTTCCGCCTGCTCCTTCAGCAGCTCGAGGGCCCCTGCATGAGCGTCTGCCATCAAGACGTCAAAACCAGCCGCCTCCGGATCGAAGGGAGCCCCAAAGTGACGCTCGAACGTCGGGAGATTCTCCACTACTAGCCCAACCATACCTTTGCGGTAGGTGTCATCGGCGAGATCGTCAAGGAAACGACGTCCGGTGGGGGTGGCCTGGAGCAATTTAACCCCATCCTGGTAGGCATCCGGGCAGGTGGCCAGGAACTCGCCAACGAGCCGCGGGAGGAACTTCATAGCCATGGTGTGGATGGCGCCAGTATAAGCCTTGGATTTCTGAAAGGCAATGGAACCAGACTCCTTGATCTTGGCAACATCGGCCTCATAAATAGGGACATGGTTGTCCACGCCCGTCTGGCGGAGTTCCACCTTGGCCTGCTCCACGGCCCACATCCGGCTGCGAAGATCCACGAGCTCGGCCTCCTGCTTCTTGAGGAGCTCCTTCTGAGAGGCATTCTCCTGGACGAGCTTATCGTAGGCATCGGCTTTCTCTTGAAGAGTGCCGGCCCTGCCTTTTGCATTCCTCAGAAGGGCGTCGCTTTCGGCCCGGACCCTGGCCATTTCCCTGCCTTGATGCTCGAAGGCCATCCGGGCCCTGTGGAAGTAGAGCCCGGCTTTGTCCAAAGTGCTCTGACCACACTCCAGAAGGTCCTCGGGTGCCTCCTGAGCAGCGAAGTCCTGGGGGACCTTGAGATTCAGGCCGCACCATATAGAGGATGCTGTTTGACCAAAGAGCATCATTGACTCCTTGCGTGGACCAACCCCGGAGAACTCAATCAAACCAAGGGAGGACCCATTGGCTTGTGGGGGCGAAGGAGGACGAGCATCGTCAAAACCCTTAGCGACCTGGGCATCATCATCCCGGAGACGACGAACATCAGAAGTTCGTGGGGGAGAAGGACGGGACTTGCCCCGAGAGACAGGCTTCCGCTTAAGGGGGCTCCCGGGCTCACCATCAGAGTCGTCGGCTACTATGATGGCCTTGGAGGCTGTACCCTCGACGCGCGGCCTCTTGGAGACGCCGGCGCCCAAATCATCCTCAGTCCGGGCCCTGATCACCCGAGTTTCAACCTTGGGGACGAGCGGCTTCCCGGGCTTGTCATGCCCCTTGTGCCCACGACCGGCGGCAGACGGAGCGGTATTATCTCGGCGCATGATGGACGTGGGTGGGAAAACTCCTGCATAGAGGGGATCAAGACGTTCAGAACCATAACAGCGAAGAGAGGTTAAAACAATACAAGTACAAACGGACGCACCTAATCCAGCCTGAGCTTTGAAGGGCTCGGCCACCAGCAACCGGAGGTTCTGGATGCCAAGTCCGGCTATGCGCTTGGCATATCCAAGCTCCTCGTCCGTCATAGGCGGCGGGATCGTCTTCACAGGGTAGGCATTCCACCGATCAGAGAATGGCATCGGTGAGCCTACTCCGGCCAGGAAGAAGCGCTCTTCCCAACCGTCTGGGTTCCCAGCGTTGTTCGAGAACAGAACCATGGACGGACGGGCAGTCAGGGTCAAATACCCTGTACGTCCGAAGGTGGACAGACGAAAGAAGTGGTGCAGCAGGTCCGCGGTGGGGGTCACACCGACGCTGTGGCATCTAATGATGAAGCCAGCGATTATCCGATAAGCGGCGGGGACGAGCTGCGCAGGAACAATCTCAAGGGCCCTGAAAAGTTCCAAGTGGAAGCTGTGCAGGGGGAAGTTCAGCCCGGCTATCACCGAATCTAGGTGGACCACCACATAGCCGGGCAGGTGGCGCATGGGGTTTCGTAGACGCCGATCGTCGTAGGTCCTTGGGGGATAAAACCATTGGCTGATCAGCCGCTTGTCAGCGTTCGTCAGGCGTTGAACTTGACGCCGGACGCATGAGAAGTTAAGGCTGTAACGGGGAGGCCGGGGTGGCATTCCCCGCTCATAATACTCCAGGTCATCACCGGAAGAACATCCATCGTCAAAGCGACTTTCGGAAGACATGTCAACGAACGGTACCTTTGGGGTTCGAGATTTCCGATCTTGGTATTTGAGAAATCTAGAGAGAGAAAACAATTGAGCAGCGTAAGGAGAAATGTGAGTGGATCACTTGGGCCCTGGGTATTTATAGGCAACACCGCAGAATTGCCCCAACCGAAGCGGGACACGTGGCACCTGGGTACCGGTACCTACCACGGTATTTAAGGCGTCTCGATTTTGTCGCCGCATAACCATCACAAGACATCCGGGTCCGTGCCACGGACGTCCCTTGAGGAGGGCTCACCGGCTCCGAGGAATTTGGAGACATTCGCCTTCCATTGCTTCCGTAATCCCCCGGCTGACCCTAGCGTTGGCGGCTGATGAGGGCACACGCATCAACCGGCTACGTCCGTCTTGCGGTACTCCAGTTTTCACGTCACGCAACTGTAGACGAGCGTCGTCACCAAGCGCTGTTTCAGTGAAATACACCCGTATGTCCATACTCGAGACGCATACTGACAAGACAGCTACCGACGAACGTCTTCCCATTGTCAAGATACCGCGTGGGCGGTAAAGATGTGTCGAGGCGCCGGAATGATTCCTTATACTACAAACAATGGACACAAAAAGGATGGAGGAAGAATCACGTCCATTAGCGGTGCACGGAGGATGAACGTCGCCTTTCCACACTTCATGACAGATGAACACGCAGAACAGACGAACGTCCCGCGCTTTGAATGTTCATATCACGCGACGACGGACGGACATCGTTATCAAGTGCTGGTGCTGAGAAATACGTTCCTATGTCTACACTTCGAGCATGCACCATAAACCGCTGACGAGCGTCGCTCCATTGTCAGAACACGTTGAGTACGTACGGAGGTTTGACTTCGGGACGCTTTTTGCCTGGAAACAAGTAGAGGTCAGATACGAACGTCCTCTCGGACTCTGACCTTGCTACAAGGCGTGTCGGGCCGCCGAAAGGGTCTTCCATACAACGAAGGACAAAGGGAATGAAAATAACAAGGCAGAAATCATGAACATAGAACAATTATGGGCAAAAAGACGTCTGTATTCTTCGGCACTTACGGCCGGACATTACAATAGCTGGAATGGAAAAATGTAAATGACATTATACAAAGAAAGGGGACCCTGGGCGGCTGCTGCCCTTGTTCGGCTCCTCCTCCTCTTCCTCAGGCTCGGGGGTCGGCGGCTCTGGAATCTCCCCCCTGGCCTTGGCCTCCTCCCGGCGCTGATCCCTCCTCAGTTTCCCTAGCGCCTGGATTAGGAGATCGTCATCCGTGTTGGCCGCCAAGTCAAAATCGGGCCCCAGCAGCTTGGCGAATGTGGGTAGGGTGGCCTTTACCCCTTCATTGTAGCCGGCGGCGAAGGTGCTGTCGCCGACCTCATATAGGAACTTGCGAGACAGGGGAGAGCCCTCGAGGATCCGGACGCCGCGGGCCAGGCGCTGGCGGGGCGGAATCTTCTCCAGAGCTGCGGCGAACAAATCGGCGAAGACCCCGGCGCAGTAGTCCTTGGCGGAGTCCATAAACTCCCCAGTGTTCCGATAGCCGGAGGTGTCAACCAACCACTCCGGAGTGGCATCCTTGGCGGCAGGGAGCACCGGAACAAGCTTAAAACCGGCTCTTTCAAGGCCGGCCAACTGGCTGTGAGACTCAGCCTGCAGGGCGGCAATCTCCCTCCCCTTGGCTGCGGCCTCCGCCTCAGCTCGACGGGCGGCCTCCCGTGCCGCAGCAACGGCCGCATCAGCTTTAGCCTTGGCCTCCTTCAGATCGGCCTCCCTGGCAGCTTCAGCCTGAAGGACTAGAAGCCCCGACTGGATGACAGAAGGGAAAAATGATTAGAGGATGAACGTCAAGGGAAAGATGTGTTCAGATCTGGTAAAGAAGGAATACCTGAAGAGCGGCGGCCAGGGCAGCACTGGTCGCCTCAGACGACGAACGGCGGGGCAACTCAAGACCGGCATTGAGGGCCATCTCCCTCCAGAGGTCTTCCGCCGGCCGGCTTAGTGGCAGAGAGCCGGCGTCTTCGAGCAGAGGCCCGGAGGAGGCTGCCTCACGGCCCCTCTTCTGCTTCTTCTCAGGGGCTTTCTCCGCCCCCTTCAGAGGAACCGTCTTCGTCGGGGCGGCCGGCGGTGGAAGGGCAGCTTCAAGAGCAGGGGCCCCGGAACCCTGAGCCAGCATAGTGGCAATCAGGTGCTGCTCACCCTCGGCAGTTCGCCGGGCAGCGTCAGAAGCCGAGGAGTTGGACTCCGAGGCGGGGGCATTCTTGGCTTTCGCCAGTGCGGCTTTAGCAGCGGCCGCTTTGGCCTTCCTTGTCTTCAAACACTCGGCGTGATTCATTTGGTCTCTATCGGGCGGTGAACCTGCAAGAAACAACAAGGATTAGAAGCCGAGCGGGAAGTAGAATAAGACACTCACCTCGAAGGACAGGACCGCCCGGGCCCCGAGACGAGCGTCGAAGGGTAGAAAAAGTCCAGGAACACGGGCGGTACCTATGCCTGCCCCAGAGAGTGCCTCGAAGGTCAAAAATCCGGCTATGGGACGGACGCCACCCTCCAACACCTTCTCCGCATCCAAAAGCAGATCGTCGGTCGGCTCCGGTGACTCAATCTTTGGGGGATACCCATTCCACCGGAGAGGGAGAGGAGGCCCGTCGTATCGGAGGAAGAAGAAGCGGTTCTTCCAGTCGTGGATGGACGAGGGGTAGTTCTTGAACAGCCGCCTCCCAGGACGTGCGGCCACGCTCAGATACCCGTCGGCATTCTGAGGAGTGACGCGGTAGAAATAATGAAAGAGCTCCAAAGTGGCATCGACCCCCGCAAGTTTGCAGCGCACCAAGAAGGCCGATACGAATCTGTAAGAATTTGGCATGAATTGCGCCGGAGCCACCTGGAAGCAGTGGAAGAACTCCACATAAAACGTATGAAGTGGAAACCGCAGCCCGGCTTCAACGGAATCCAGATGGAGCATGATCATCCCCGGACGTCTCCTCATCACATGCTCAGCGCCTTTCACACTCCAGACGAACGGCGGAGGAAGGAAGGTGCGGATTTTATTGAGGGCCACACGGGAGAGGACTTGGTCGTGGTCAAGGGCGCTCCTAATCGGGCAGATGTGACGCTCCATATCCGTGGGGATGCCCAGATCATACACCTCCATATCAGAACCGGATTCGGCTTCCTCTCCAGAATCGTAATCAGCAGGACGCTCATTCAGGGGGACCGCATCAATAACGTCCACTGCCTCATCGGCATCCCCACCCCTGGCGTCACTCCCACTATCTTGGGACACATCATCCGGCTCGCCATCAGCCCGGATGGTCCCCACCGTCGTGGCCGAACCAGAGGTTCCGGAAACACTAGTTTTTCCCAGGGAGCGTGCATTGGCATTTTCAGAAGAGGAGCCCGAGGAGGAACCCGACGAACCGGAATCAGAACTTGAGGAAATCTCCATCGAAGTCATTCCGGCTAGAAATCAGAGTAAGGGAAAGAAGCAGAGGGGGGAAATTACCTTACAAAGGTATGGTTGGCCGAATTCAGGAAACTTGAAGAGCTGCGGAAAATCGAGGGCAAGAGAGCAGAAATTGGGAACCCTAATTCAGAGGGCAAACCCAGCATTTATAGGGGAAACACCGATGGAGAAACCAACGAGGGGCTGACACGTGGCAAGGGGCGTATTCCGGCCCACGCGCTGTGCGTGGGATGGGAACGTAATGATGACACTTCCTCGGGAAAATGCGCCGCCGTAACATCAGCCGTCACCTCGTTTCCTGAACCGTCAACAGCTGTCAAGCACCGTGGCCACGAGCGTACGTTTCCACCAAGATGCAATGAACACAAGTACCAAGATACGGACGTCTACTTCGGGGAGGTTCATACTTCCTTATGTCCTGCGCATGCTCAGAACATCAGAAGTGGAGGACTTGTGTTGGGTTAAGGGCCCAAGCCGAGGTCCGGCCCGCTAACCCATTTTGCCAGACGAGCGTCCAGCTAGAAACTAGGCCAGCCCACAGGCCCATGTTCTTTAAGGATGGACGAGCGTCTGGTGTTGGAGGACTCAGGCCCAGCAGCTCATTCCGACGAACGTCTATGCAGGGACAAGGAGCAGAGCCACGGGCCACCAGGGATGGCGACGAACGTCCCCAGAGCAAGCCTGTAGTCATCGGAGAAAACCCAGTGCACATGGTGAGTATCTATCAAGGCCAGGAGACGAACGGCCAATATCCCTCAAGGGTCACTTGGAGCAATCCAACTCACTTCCCGGGTGGACGAACGTCCCCACTGATCCGGCGGGAAACCTAGATTCTGGCGGGAAGTGCATTTAATGCTAAAGATTTGGTAGTTGGGACACCAGCGGTCCACAGGCTGCCACGTCAGTACAGCTACCTGCCCATTGGCGGGTATAAATAGAAGCATTTATTTCATTGTAAAGGGTTGGCAACTTTCTATTCTTAGCATACTAGCTTCAGCATTCTTACTGGCAGCATTTCTAAGTGCCTTGTAAGACGAACGGCCGACGTGCCCTTTTTAGCAAGTAGATTGTATTTAGGGGAGTTATCACGAAGTTAATAATACCTATTTACATTGCCTGCTATCACTTTTGTTTCCTGATCCATCTCATAGTTGTTAGGCTAGATATCCTTATACTTACTCCATTCGAAATCTTTGGGCTTACGTGTTGGGTCCAAGGGTTGAAGGAATAAACCTCAACACTATTAATTCATTATGTATATATTAATATACTTCCTTTATTCTTTTTTAATTGTAACGGTTCACTTTTCACGTTTTCCAACACACAAGTTTGGCCGTTAATTTCTTTCGTTCCTTATTAGTATAAAAAAATCGGATTTTGAAAATTTATTATGAAAGGAATTTAAATATATTTTTAAAAAATTTAATTCATAATACATTAATAAATAAAATATAGTCAAAGAAGAATGTGTGAATAGTGAGAAAAGTCTTAGATTGCAATTAAAAGAGAATGGAGGTAGTAGTAGGTATATATATGCACATGCATATGCATATAAATGCCTCACTAAACTGTCTGCGCTTCTTTGTTATGAAGCAGCAATAAAATCATGCAATTTTGGATGCGATTTTCACTATGAATCATCTGGAAACAGCCTCTTTGTGCTTTAGTACAAGGGTAAGGCTGCGTACATCAACCCCCCCCCCCCCCCCCCCCCCCCCGTCGAAGGTTGATGGGAGCCTTTGAGGCACAGGGGTAATGACGAATGATGAATGTGTGTAATACGTATAAACCAACTGTGAGGACATTGACGACAAACCAAGGGGCCATTAGTAATCGCCAAAATGACTGAACTTATAAAAAAATTGTAACAGGGAGGCTTTTATTGATAATAAAACACTCAACAAGGGACATAAATGATGAAGGAACACTTCCCGCCACCGACCCTCGAACCAGCTGGAGAATCAATCACCTTAAAAAAGCAATATGATTCGTTAATCCTGTATTGGGTCTAAATGGGCCAAACGTGGCCAGAGCAAAACTCTCATCACTCCCACCCAGTGTAAGAGTATGACAGAACAAAACCACATGACAGAACAAAACCACAGTAACCGAAAGGGAAAAAGTCTGAGTGCAAAAAGTACGCTCTAAAATTAAAAAAGCATAGAAATTAAATACTCCCTCCGTCCCATTTTACCTGTCTTACTTTCCTTTTTGGGTTGTTAAGTGTCATGACTATCATCTTTCCCTTTTTGGAAAGAAATATGTAGTTCATAACATTTCACTTTACTATACTCAAATCTCAACCACAACTTTTACCTTTTCAACCACTTTATTAAAAATTGTGCCAAAAGCAGAAGACACATAAAATGGGACTGAGGTAGTAGCAAAGAAGTCAAAAGCTACTTTACTTTCCGTAGTAAGCAGAGTAAGCCGGCTACCAAATAAAGCCGCAATTTTTTGAATAGCACATTCACTATTTCAGTATTTCACTATCTGATTCAAATATTCAATATACATTGACCAATGAGAAAAGAATTGGTTAGCTCTTTCACCATAACCATGTTACAGTTATTATACTTGGTATATGCTTATTTACAGTGTGTTAGCCGAAGTGTGTCAGGAGGACGAAAGCGCCAGCTCGGCCCACGCTAAAGAAGATCCTTTCAATTCCGCAGATATAGATGTGTCAATGTTGCTCTCCAGCAGACCACACAATTCCTCCATTGAAGAACCTCTGCGATTATAATATGTACGAATGCATGCTTTGATCACCTCACACACCACTTTGACCTCTTCACAACTGAAATGTTTCAACTCGGGGTCCACCAAGCACGACATTGCCTCAGGAACATCAAGAAAGTCCTTAGCCTGTAAACACGAAAATTAGACACATCCATACACAGAGTGTGTGTTAAAGTTAGGGGACCCGGTCCAGTTCTGCATCATGGGATGGGTGGAACCATGACGGATTCAGGGTATACCCAGTTCAGAACTGGTCAGTCCAGTACCCGTTTTTGGGGAACCAGAACCGGTCCAGGCTTGGACGGGTTCCCAGTAGCTTCAGCTTGGTTCCACATGGACCTCTAGAAGCATTGTTAAGAAGCATTAGAGTGATACCCAGTCTATTAAGGATCCTTTGTCTTTGCAGTAGGGAGGTCGGCCACTGATTATTTCCAGAAGTAGTAGTCCAAATGCATAAATGTTTCCAGAGAGGTCCTGGTGGCGTCCCTCCAATGAATCTGGAAGGATGCAAATTGCACCTTCACTGCTTATATAATTCTTTTCTGATCTTGAAAGGATTGTCTTCCAGCTTTCAAAATCAACTAGCTGCAACCAAATGTATAACCTCAAGGGTATGTTTCGATAATGGAAAATGCTAGGGCAAAGGTTTTAAAATTGCTACATGAACTCATGAAGTTACTTTACAATCTTTATCTTTACCTTAGACAATGCAAAGGAAAATATAATGCGGAGTACAAGGTTACTTTTATTATTTTTGTATATGCTTGATTTTGTTAGTCTGTATATTGTAGAAGTGAATAAATAAAATACTCCGTATGTTTTCACCCAAAAAAAGGGTAAAATAATATTTGAAATAATTTTATTGAGTTTAAGTCATATTACTTAGTTTTCCATAGCTTTTCTTTACTTGCCATTATCATCTTAGTGATGTCCATTTCTTTCCCTAACGTTTCCCAAGCTCCAAACCAAATGATGGATCCCCAAGAAGCTCAGCTCATATAATTTCATAGGAACTGAAAAAATAGAGGAAACAGGAAAATAAATGAATGGTTTTGTTTTTGCCTTGTTTTCCTGTAACTTGTTATTCTTAGTTAATTTTATTAATAAAATAGATCATATAGCGCTAAATATTACAGTAACTTCTTGTTGAAGATTGATTAAAATAAAATTTGTTTAATGGAGAATGAAAACAGAATGAAAATCAGCCATCGAAATAGCTCCATGTATTTTTTTTTACCCCGGGGGTCTAGGGGAGGAGAGCTGGGGGATCCTGGGGTAAACAGGGCTGAAACTCCCTCCACGGAGTTTTGAACCCAAGACCTCCCGTATGGGAGAGTGAGTCGGTGACTAGTTGAGCTGGACCGCTTCCTCAAATAGCTCCATGTAAAATGGTAATTTAATAGAAATAGAATGATGATAGAGATCATCAGTGTAATAAAAACTTGTCTTTATGATGTTTATGAAAGAACTTGGTTACCTTAGGAGAGAAATCTTCAGTGAGATACACAGCATTTGAATTGAGTTCAGATATAGTGAATGGAGGGTTGAGTTCTGTGTGTAGATATTTCAACCCCTTGGCTATACCGATCACAATTTTCATCCTTCTTGTCCATGACAATTGGCAGGCCTCTCCATCTGCAGCAAAACTACAATGTTACCATCCAAAAAGAACTGAGCAGAAAAGAGTGTCAAAGCCAAAAGTGAGTTCAGGGTGAATTATTTTCAAAGAACGAGTGCTTTATGTGAAGAGAATTACATAAACAATTAGCCCGTTTGGCAAGGAAAATAAAAAAATGTTTTTAAATCCTAAAAAGCTCTTTTTGTTCATTTAAAAGTTGAAGCTTTTGAAAACAACAACATCCTAAAGGTCCCAAAAGACATTAGGGTCGGCTAACATGAATAGACATATGATGGACCCCAAACAAATTCTACCCCGGGAAACACCAAGGAAAGCTATTTCTTTATGCTCTCGGAAAATACAAAACAAATAAAAATATGGTTATGTTTTTAAGTGAAATTTAAAAAACCGTTTTATTGTTGGCATTTATAAATTTATATAATAGGACTAAATGCGTACAATGAAGATTGTGCAAGTATTATAAAGAAATATTCTGTTTGAACCAGTGCTTTATTTTGGTCCATATTTTCATTTGCTTCCAAATTTCTCCAATATTTGTCCTCCCTACTTTACTTCCCTCGCATTTTTCGAGTTCCAATGGACCAATAATGTGGCAACTTACAGTGAAGATGTTCATACAAAGTTCCATTCGGCGCATACTCAAACACCAACATCCTTGTAAAAGGGCTGCTTTCCCTACAATACCCCAACAGTTTTGCTGCATTTTCATGATCTATCCTTGCAAGTTCTGCCACCTCTTTCTGAAAATAAAGTTCGAGATAGGCGGTCCAGTTCTCTTCCTTGATGCAAACAGATATCACGGCAATCTCAGGACCACCATGCATGGTCCCCTTGTACACCAAGCTGTCGGGCGAGGAGCCGATAATATTACTGAAATCTTCACATGCTACCTCTAGCTCTTGCCTGCTGAATCTCACTACATCCTTCAGCATCTCAGTATCTGTTATAAGTGTAAGATTCCTTAGGGCTTGTTTGGCTGGGTTTTTTTGGAGGGAAGAGGAAAGTGATTTTAAATGTATACTCCCTCTCTCAGGCAGTCCCAAATAATCGTCATCCTAGCAAAAAAAAAGACCTAAATTTACCATCTTCTTAGGTTATCAATGTATATTCATTATAAGGGTAAAATGGTCTTTCTGTAAGCCTCATGAATAAGTGTACACTTTTCTAAAGCGTCAATAATTATTCAACAGAGGGAGAATATGTTAAAAAGAATCCTTTCGGGCTTGTTTGGTAGGAGGACATTAAAATGGTCCTTTTGTTTTACTAATTTATCTGAATTTGTACCCTTGTACTTTGTAATTTTATACGGAGTATAATTTTTCATTAGACTAAAAATAACTATATGTTAAAAATGTAACACTATATAATTTTTCATTTCCACATTATTTCCGACCTTGTAAATGCAAGATGGAATATTATAATAAATATCAATCCCCCGAAACCCTCCATCCAAACAGCCCCTTACGTAACAAGTAGGCTGTGATGGGTTAAAATTCATAAATGGTAGAAAATGCTCAGATATTTTAGTTACCTACGTAAACTGCCCTGCAGTCCTTAATGCTACCTGACTTCTTCCAAGGGATAACAATGGAAGATTTACTGTTGAACTTGTGAACAGTCGTGAGAAGAGCCACTAGAAAAAGAGTTCCCACCATTATCCCTGTCATGACTTCTAGTCCAAACAGCCATCCAGGTTTTGTTGACCCATACTTGTGTTCAGTTTTGGTCACTGCTGGGTGGATTTGATTTTTTGGTGCATTGTGACCTAAAAAGACAAGTTATAAGCTCTACTTCTGAAATTTGTAATATAATGTGGATAAAGTTTGGTCATGTGGAGGAGGTTTGGTCATGATCTTATTTGACAGTATAAATAAATAAAAAGTGTACTTTCATCAAATATTGCATATTTGAGTACCACATTGTGAAAGAGGCCGCTGCCTAATATCTTGGACTTGAAGGCAGTTCCCTTGAAAGCTTGACCTTTGAACAGAACAAATCAAATTAGTGTAAAAAAAAGCTCAAGAATAACAACAGAACTCAAATCACGAAAAATAGAGGAGTACTTTGGAAGATAACTCAAGCATTTTGGTATCCTTCCAACAAAGAAGTTATATGATAAATCTGCAACTTTTAGTTTAGATGAACGACATAATCCGATATGCTTCCCACCAGAGGCATACCTAAAACAGTACAAACTGGGTTATTTTCTTCAGTTTTGACATGAAATTCTCCGTCCCAGGAATGTACTTCGTGTCTAACATTAACAGCTTTTATTATACTGCTCAATGACTGAAAGAACCTTTTCTAAGCTTTTCAGGCCGATGACTAGAAAAAACCAAGACATAAGCATGTTATTGACATAGCCCTTTGGATATTAAGTGGGATTTGTAGTGGTAATAGAGTTTTGCAATGCCAAAAAAATCCATATTAAGACAATTGCTAAAGTCTCTAAATTTTATCAAATTGCGGTTGATATTGATGAAGTTGATGATATTGCACAATTATGAAAAACTATCTAAAATATGTATTATTGATAAAAAAAAAAATACTCCCTCCGTCCCTGAAACAAGTTCACCCTTTCCTTTTTGGGTAGTCCCTGAATTAAGTTCACGTTTCCTTATTTGGCAAATTATCTATATCAAAACAGTGCCAAACAGTGCCAAACACTGTCCAATTTGCCCCCAGTAAATTTCTTTCCTTAATATGTGTGAAAAGCAATGGTGAACTTCTTTCGGGGACGGAGGGAGTATGTGAAAAGGGGCTAAAATGAGCTCCAGCCCTACTCTATTTTCAGTATAAACCAATTCAACACAGTAAATTAATGTTTGGAAAAATAATCAGGCATTAAAGCAGCCACAAAAGCTCTGTTTGGTATCAAGTTTTGCCTTCTTTCATTTACAAACAGAACAAGCCAGTTTTTATTTATCTGGCTGAAATGGAGGTTACTTAAAGTTTCCTCTTGCAAAAAATTCAGCATATTCAGCTAAACAATCCATACCAAAAGGCCCTAAGTATTAATTTAAAAGCATACTTACATCCCATTTACACTAGATGTAGAGTATGTCACATTAATTTCCGGGACCATCCCTACAAGCTTATTTCTATCCACCCTAAGTTCTTCGAGGTATTTCAAACTGCTAATAAGCTCAAATGGCAATCTTCCGGTCAACCCATTGGACTGAAGGTTTCTGCATGCAATGTAAAACATATGAGGTGAAAATTGTTAAGAACAAATAACAAATTCTCAATATTCAAAACACTCAAAATTCAGTTTCACGAACATTTTTACTATGTTTGGTAAATTTCCTATCTCCTTAGGAATTGATCCAGTAAGCCGGTTTTTGCTCAAGTCCAAAACTCTGAGGTTCTTTAACAACCCTATTTCTTTGGGTATTGTACCAATTAGTTGGTTTCTGTCCAACAATCTGTGCATCAATCAGCAATATATTAATAACGCTCAAGAAAATATATAAATAACATAAAAGATCCATTTGGAAGTTGGGGAATGATTGGGAGGACAATATCAGGTAAATTTGGGAAATGTGTGGGAAAATAGAAAACATTCATTCAAATAATAATTCTTTTTTATATTTGTTCAAAACCATTTCATATTACTAATTCGTATTATATAAAGATGAAGAAATGTAAACGTATTTAAAAATATACAATTATTCATATTTAATTTTTATTTGCATTCTTCAATGTTAAAAAAACACAAAATAGTTTATGTAGCAATTCTACCCCCCATTTCCCTAGCATTTTCTGTGACCTAAACATACCCCAACTGTAACTCTCTTGGGGAAAATGGCTTACAATTCTTGCAAATAAGAGACGAGATGCAACTCTGGTGCAAGAAAACCCCTTAAAGATGCCCCAGAAATGTTACTGCAAATATGACACGAAAATAGATTATGAGACATGGTAATAACTAATGCATAATAAGCAAATCATTGATGAAACATTTATTCAGTTAGTTAGTTAAATAAGAAAATGAGTAATTAAATAAGTGAATAAGTAAGTAAATGCATAAATTTAGTTATAAAAATAAAATAAAAACCTTACATTTTCAAGACATGATCTCCAGACACAGAACAAGAAATGCCATTCCAAGCACAAGGGTCGGAATCTAAGGAATTCCAACTAGACAAGACCAGAAATGGATCTTCATATATTGCTTCTTTGAACTTAGTCAGAGCAACCACTGTAAGAACAAAATATTACTACAGTTATGCATCCATTACTCCATTACTGCAGTAACAATTTCTAAGAGAGTAATAATTTCTGGACTTCAAACAATAACTAGATCTGTCGGACAATGTACAGAGAGTTGAAGAAGCATACCCTCCTCTGAAGGGAAAGCGAGAGAATCCACAAGAAAGAGAGCACTGATAGTCAAAAGAAGTTGAAGGAAAACGTGGGTTTTCATCTTTGCCCCTTCTGTCACAAGAACACTGGTGGGTGGCATTACAGAGACACAGAAGTGAAATAGCCCATCAGATCAAGGAAAGAGAGGGGAGTAGAGACAGTTGGAGAAATGGCGCTATCAAGAAACAGAAGATTAACAACCAAGATTCGCAATTACAATGGCAGCAGGTTATGGATTTTTTGAAAGAGACCAACTTTGCCAATAATGGGTAAACTTGGGCTCAAAGAGAAGTCTTGTGTCAGCACACAGCACTAGAAAATAATAAAAGGATAAATTGGAAACGCGTCAAGAAAGCATGAATTTCAGTTGAAGATTGAAGCAAATAAAATGGGAATTTCAAAAAACAAAAAAAAAAAAAACATTGCAGATGTGGTATAGGAGGAACCGAAATGAAAGGTACTTCAATTTGTTTATTCAATGAGAATTGGATCGTGGCCAGGTCTTGAACAAGAGAGCATGGACTCATCGACTCATCGAGTGTATTTGTGTAAGCTATGTTGCTTAAAGCCTTAAACTTATGAGGTTTTGGAATTTTATTTGGGTACAATTAGGGACAATTCAATTCAATTTAAGGTTCCGTTTTAGATATAGTTTTATTTTGATTTATTCGGTTTTGGAAATAATATACGGAGTATTAAACAAAAATTATTTGTGTTTTGGTTTGATTTACCAAAATAAAAATGATTTGGTCTACTTTAGTTCAATTTGATTCGATTTCTTATGATTATTGATTAATTTACATAATCCGCAAAAACTAATCATTTTTACATACAAATGATTTGGTCTACTATAGATCGAAGTTACATTTTTAGAGATAGAAAACGAAAATAATAATCCACAAAAGCTAATCATCATGTTGTACGTATTTACATAAAGAAATACTCCGTAAAATATTGAAAAAGTAAGATATGTTTGGCGGGCATTAGTCCTGACTTCTAACTTTTGTACTATTAAAAAAGTCTTTAAAAGGTTCTAGTTATATGTTTGACATGCCAATTTTTAAGAGATTTTAAAAATTAAAAGGTCTTTTTTGAGATGCTACAGGCAGTAGCATCTGAAAAAAGTCCGTGACTTTTAGTATTAATTATCTCTAATAGCTTGTATACCAAACCGAACTAAATCAAACAGTTGACTTTTTCCCAAACAGCTACCGCCTTTTCTTTTTAAGATCTTTTCAGTCATCAAAAGCTAACAGTTATTAAAAAAGCTCAAAGAAGTATCTTTTCAACTAGCTGTGCCAAACATACCCATAGCCATAGTTTTATCCGAAATTGCATCTTCTCAATCAATTAAGTTATAGTTGATTATTTATAACATCCCATAAAATATTCAAATAAAATCAAATGAGTATAGGTAGGCATAAAAGTGTTATAAAATTCATAACTTTTATTCAAATGAATAATGTGAAAAATGTTGATCATACTCTACATTTTTTGAAGTTGACTGCGCCAAAATATACATATAAAAACACAGTAAATTAAAAAAAAAATGATTTGAATGCCTTCCCGATCGAATTTTGAGCTGAAATTTGGTATGGACAAACTAGACTTGATGAAGAACATGCTAAAAAAAATCATCAAAATATTCCACCGAGAACCACCCAAACGGCGTAGTTCGGACAGCGGCTGGACATGGGAGGGTTGGACCTGATCTTTACCGCTCTAATTATATATGTCAACATGGCTATTAATATATGTAAAATTGAATATCATGATAGATCACTAAGGATGTTTTCTTTTGGACTGAAATTTGTTGGTCTAGTTTGCTCTGGTCTGGTCTGGTCTGACGTCTGGTCTCTGTGTATTTTATAACTACGAAAGTTAAGTCTGGTTTGGGCTGGTCTAATCTGGTTTGGTCTGATCTGATATCATCTAATCTGATCTGGTCTGGGTTTGAAAACATTCCAAAAGAAAACATCGTAAAAGTTGATAGTTTGAATGTTGTGGATGCGGAGTTTCATTTTTGTTTAATGTCTTTACTTTAATGATGATGGTTTTATTCAAAACAAATGTGATGTATATACTAATGTATTAAGGGTTTTTTTTCTTAAAACGAAGCAAGAGCTTTTTAATCTAAATGGTACTCTCTCCCTCGTCAAATATATGTCTTGTTTTGCTTTGACAAATTATTAATCATTAATAGAAAAGATTGGAAAGTAAAATTAGTGGATGAAGTTTGAGAGAATAAATTGATAATACATCAATAGGTAATCCGAAAGAATCCTAACAACCGCCGTCCCTCGACCCATATTCAGAGTTAATCACCTCAACAAAAGCAATTTAACTCGCTGAACTCTTAATGGACACAACTGAGCCATAGATGGTTACACCATTCCTTTTATCACTCACATCCAAATTCACAGTCTTATAGTTCAATAACATAAAAATCTGAAAGTAAACAACAAAAATCAGACAATCAAAATAAATAAATGCTAAAAAATAAAAGTTTTGCTTCATCATCGAGCAAGAAGATGCCAAACACCCTCCAGAGCCTTCAACCCTAGCCTTTTCTGCACTCCGTGGCGGCGGTTCAGGAGCAGGTCGGACCAACAGTATTGCATCTTCTTCCTCATCCTGCTTCTTGTTGATCAAATTCCATGTCATACCTGCGTTTACAAAAACCTAAGCAAGGAAGCCTCGATTACCTTGCTCGCCGACTCGCCTGCCATAAGTTGACCCTCTGTTTGCTGCTTTGCCGAAAAGACTTGCCTGACAAAGCCATCCCAACACGTCCACAATCCCGCCGGAGCATACAGAACTACGGCTTCACCATGCTCCAAAACAACCCCTCCACCTGAATCCCTTGCCACAGATCCAAAATATTTGACCGGAAAAACCAGTCCCATTCCTCGGCGCAAGCCGATAGCGGACGAATAGAACTAGCGGCCAACCTTGCGGCTAACCCTAGAGAGAGAACTTTATCCAAGAAATCCGGATAGAAAGAGACGAGACTCCACCCAAGAGCCCGAGAATTCCCTCACCCCTCTCGGCGAAGCCAACGGCGGACGAAATGAGCCTAGGCGTTACTGGAAGGTAACCCTAGAGAGAAGCTCCTCCCAAGTATCCTATATTGTCATAAAAAAAAAAAGAAATCATGCATTTATTTTGTAATAGTCCAAAAAGGAAAGCTAACACATAATTGGGTAGAGAAGAAGTACTTGGAATCTGTAAAATTGTGTGATAGAAACAGATTAATCACAAATTGATTAATTATAGCTGAAGATTTTTTTTGTTTGTCCACACTATTTTATACGCAGTACGTTTTTATACATGTTAACCCTTAGACCTTAGTTATATGTGCACATAAACAATTCATTCATTTGCATTACAATTGAGAGCAAACAATTTTGCTTTCAATTTTGCTTTTCTCCGTCAACTTCTGGTTTGCAAATAACTCAATTTAAGGATTCTCTAAGCTATAGTATCTCATTTGATTATGGTGGGTTTGATTCATTATGTGATAGTTTTAGACAACTTCAAGTTTTTCTTGGAATTTCACTAGGTTTGAAAATTCTAGAAAATTGACTTTATATATGGATAGTAATAGATATGGGAACTTTATATGCCTACGATCTTATGATAAAGGGTGAGTATCACTATTGTTGTCCCTGAAGGAAGGAAAGGACCTGGATTTCGTTTGTTCTATACGACTTTACTCCGTCATCTAGATATTTTGAAGGAGGTTAAAAATGGGGCTTTGCAAAGATGTTCGGACGACCTTGGGAATCTCTGCTCATCTGAGAAATACGACTTTGAGAACATCGAGTCTATTCCTTCATTGCTTTTTCATGATGATGTAGTTGATTATGGTTATTCCTCTACTTCTGATCCATGGATTGCTCTTAGGGAAACTAGTATTGAGGCAAGCATGGTAGGGACAAATGCGGGTTTGGATTTAGGAGAAATCCTAGATGTTAAGCCTCTCAATGTGTCGAGGACACTATATGGATTCCTCACGTAAAGAGGCCTCTCACAGTGGTGGGCAACAGGAAAAAAAAAATAGTGCACAAAAGGCCGATATTCAGACAATGACTTTGGATACGTCTTCATTGACTGATTTGATTTGTTCTTTTGATGCATCGAAGGAACAAACTATTTGCTCCAAGAAGAACGTGAAAGAGAATGAAAATGGTTTTCCCTAGCGAAAGGTTGTGGGTAAGAACTCTAAGTCGACTAAAATTTCCTATCCTTCTCTCCAAGATCTTATCAATCAATTCAAGGCAAATGAAAATAAGTTTATATAAAAAGATGAAACCCCAGGCTTCGGCTTCGACTCAGAGTGTTGCTCTTTCTTCATCTACGATTTCAGTGACTTCTCCAGCTGTAGTTGAACAAAATGATTTTAAGGAGGTCAGTGAAGACTGTTCTTTCACTCGAGTTATTTCTCGGCGCAACAAGAAAAAATTTGCTGTTCAGACTTCCTCTTTGCAAACTAGGTCACAATTGCGCTTGAAAGCTTAATCTTTAGCCAAAAAAAACAATTCATTCATTAAAGAAATCAAAATTTTAAGACAATTTTATGTGTGAGTGTGCAGAATTGGCGTGTAAACATGTACACAAAGCATGACTCTAAAACAAAAGTTGTTAGAAGCTTAGATAAATAAATTTTAAAAAGTTGATAATTCTAATATTGGTTTAATCGGTTGACTATACCTAAATTATGATTGAAATGGTCGGATTAAATCAATAAGCTAAATTATGATAAAATATGTCTAAAACAAATTTAATAAATAAAATAAATAAAAATTTATAGAAAGGGTCAAAATTCTCCTTTTCACAAAATCTAGCTAAAAACTAAATTCAATAACTTTATTTAGCCTCACTTATTTTAATTATTATATCATTCGGCGCGTAAAAATAATAATTTAGTATATAAAATATACTATATTAAGTAATTCAGTAAATAAAGTAATATACTTTGATATATTACTTTAAAATATACTAAAGTTAACGGATAAGCTTAAAAGAGAACTACAAATCATGCTCTTCTTACAATATACAGGTAGAATTAATT